GAGAGAGAGAAATTTTAATATTTATTTTTTAGTTCTCGGTGGACACAACATCTTTGTTGGTATGTGGTGCTGAGGATCGAACCCGGGCCGCACGCATGCTAGGCGAGCGCGCTACGGCTTGAGCCACATCCCCAGCCCCGAGAAACTAAATTTTACTAATAGGCACTGAGTATATTCATTCAATTAGTAGAGTAATTAAAAATATGATGGAATATTATGTAATGACAAGGGGAAAGTCATTGCATAATTGTTCTAGACTTACCTAACAGAAAAAGCTGGTTCTAAGACTGTACATACCATACGATTCCAATTTTATAAAAAGCTTCAAAATACATACAAAAAGGTAAAATGATAATCACCAAAATGTCAGAACTAGTTGTCTCTAGGGAGAAGAGTTACAGGTTTTAATTTTCTTCTTGTGCTTTAATACATTCAAGATCATACTTTATAGTATACTATAATTACCTTTATAGATAGAAAAAAGTTCTTTTTAATGCATACTATTTGTGGGGGCGAGGGGAGATAGACATGGTACAGGACCTTAAGCATTTTAGGCAAGTGCTTAGCCAGTGAGTTATACACCCAGATCTAAGTAATTTTAATTCTATCCTGTAGCAAGAAAATAATCCAAAACACAGCCATACTCAGTAATACCATCCCTGAGAATGTATTCCAAAAGATGGGGCAGACAGAGAACTGATCATTCAAAATGTTAGTTTCAGGAATGGGGATTTTGTTCAGTGGTAAACAGTTTTCCTAGCAAGCACAAGGCCCTGTTCAATCCCTAGCACAGAAAAAAAAAAAAAAATTTTTTTTTTTTTTTTTAGAGTGGGTGATGTTCCAGGGATTCAACTTAGGGGCACTGGACCACTGAGCCACATCCCTAGCCCTATTTTGTATTTTATTAGAGACAGGGTCTCACTGAGTTGCTTAGTGCCTCGCTAAATTGCTGAGGCTGGCTTTTAACTCAAAATCCTCCTGCCTCTGTCTTCTGAGTCCCTGGGATTACAGGCATGTACCACCACACCCGGCACAGAAAACTTTTTAAAAAGGTCAACCAGTCAGTTAAAAAGAAAACTTATAAATAACCTTTACAATAAGAGAATGGTTAAATAAATTAGAAAACAGGGCTGGGGATGTAGCCCAAGCAGTATCGGTTCGATCCTCAGCACCACATACAAACAAAGATGTTGTGTCCGCCGAAAACTAAAAATATTAAAAATTCTCTCTTTCTTTAAAAAAAAAAATTAGAAAACAATTCAAATAAATTTTATGTAGCTACTAAAGTAATTATTAAAACACAAAAAAATATGTATTACAAAATTTAGAGTACAAAAAATATTACCAAGCTCACTACAGTAAAAAACATTATGTATCTTTATTTGTATTTATTTTTATTTTTAATTTGTTGTTTTTGTTTGGAGTGGGCATCCAGATGGGAACTATAAATTAGTATTTAAATAAACAATAGAAAAGGCAATAAAAAAGATTATGTTGAATAATGAGATTATGGGCAATATTTTTATTTTATTCAAGGATTTTTATGTCTTTATAAATAAAATTCAGGAGGAGGGCATGGAACATATTTATATAATCTCCATCCATAATGATAATTAGAAACCCGTAACTTTTCAAAACAGGCACTCAATGGATAGTTTATTTCAAAAGGATACCATAAGTTTTAGATTTTCAAAAACACTTAGAATTTTAAACCTATTCTTCAATTAGCTCAGACTAGTTACAAAAATAAAACAAAACCAAACAAAAATTGCCAAAAACCTCTTAAAAGATCAGTTATAAAAGAATCTTACCATTTCAGTGATGAACTCTATGACAAGATCTTCAAGAATATCCACTGACTCAGTGTAAGGATTCTGGTCATCCCCAAACCCATACATCATACAACGTACTGTGAAAGAATAATAATTTTTATTTACTTGACAAAAAGCCAATACTTTTTCATATCAACTAGAAGTGAACAAAATTATACAAAATATTGGTCTAAAAACATATTTACACTGTATCTGTTGTCTCCATGTATGGATTTTGGTGTAAAAGATTTGACCATAAACTGGGAATGGTGGTGCATGCCTGTAATCCCTGCGGTTCAGGAGACCGAAGCAGGAGAATTGCAAATTCAAAGCCAACCAAGGCCCCAAGCAACCTGGCATGACCCTGTTTCTAAATAAAATATATAAAGGGCTGAGGATGTGGCTCAGTGGTTAAGCAACCCTTCCTTCAATCCCCCAAACAAAAAAAAAAAAAAAAAAAGATTTTACCAGTTTTATCACCATAATCTCCAACAAAACTCTGGCTCCCGTTCCTTCCTTAAACCACTACTAATGTGTACATTCTTTCCCTAATCTCTATCATCTACTCACAGGCAACCCCCAGAATGTCTCTAGGTGGGAGACTCTATGGTAGGCACAGAACAGCAATGGCTTATTATTTTCTATAAGTGTTTGTGTGTGGGTGAGGCAGTGGGGCACTGGAAAAGACATAAGAATCTTTTCTGATATTACCATAGGGAAAAGAACATGACAGAAAATACTCCAATTACCTTCTCATGGAAAGAAACAGGGTAATTAAAAGGAGAAGGCAGAGGGCTTCTACAAAGAATCCTGACATTTTATTTCCTAGATCAACACAACTGTCAGCAAAGTCCTTTCAGGAGTCGTCTGAAGAAACAACAGAATATGCAAAAGAGAAGAAAAATCTAATGCAGAGTAATAAAAATAACTGCTAATGGCTAAAACGTATATAGCCCTTACTATATGCCAGGTACTTAAGGCTTTTATATATATATATATATAACTCATCTAATCTAATCCTCACAATAATCATTTGATGTATATACTATTATTATGCCCTATCTATGGATGAGAAAACTGAGACACCGAGCTAAGTGACTTACCCAAAGTCACACAGCTAGTAAGAGATATAGCCTAAATCTGAACCTAGCTGATCAGGTTTCAGAGTCATTAATCTGACCCACAACAGTTCTATGCATCACAGTTTAAGACCAATGGGATTCATGAACATTTTTAACCTACACAGACTATCCCAACTAGTTTACAGACAAAGCTTCAAGAAGTCCTTGAATCTCCCTTGAAATTGTACAGAAAAAAATTTTTTTTAAAGAGAGAGAGAGAGAGAGAGAGAGAGAGAGAGAGAGAGAGAATTTTTTAATATTTATTTTTTA